GTTCTCTCAGGAACAGTGACTGAGGAGGCAGCACTTACAGGCACCTGTGTTAGACAGTTCTCTGCCCCACCACTAGAGGGCAATTGGTCCTCCCTAAACACAGAGGGGAACAATGAATCTGAAAGATCCACCCCTTGGGTCTGCTTACGCGCTTGCGCCCTAGTCAACACACTGACCGAAAACACTCCAGGGTGCTTTTGAACCAACTCATCAGATTCAACTTCAGGGATAGGAGTATGCACCATCTCTGGGTCTGGAAAAACCTTTCCACCAGCAATGTCATTTCCTAGGATAAAATCTACACCATCAACAGGAAAATGAGACCCGAACAGCGACGGGAAAGAAACCAGACACTAGCTTGGACTGCACATGAATAGAATGTAAAGGAGCAGGTACAAAGCTCATCCCGATACCTCAAACTACAGCGCTCACATCACGGGCAGATTGAGGGTTCGATGGCAGTACGCTAGCTAAGATAAATGAGCGTGAGCCACCCGTGTCCCTCAGCACTGTGACCGGGCGCTGATCATCAGGTTTACTGGTGAGGGATACCAGTCCCTTGGAAATAAAAGGCCTGAAACATTCATCAGGTTCCCCCACAGCCAGCTGACGATCATAGGGAGACACAGTCTTAATCAACCCAACTCCTTTTGGCGGTTTAGCCACTGGAGGCTGGGGCTTTCGTTTATAGAGAGCACACTCTGCAATAAGATGATCAGGTTTATGACAAAAAAAAACAATGCTTGTCCACCTGTGCCCCTGAGCCAACACGAGTACCCTGAGTGGTGCTGGGCTTCCTTACAGCATCATCATAAGGGGACGAGTAATGTCTGATAGACGTGTTCTTGTGCGTCAAGGCAAACTCATCAGGAAGCGTAGCAGCCTGCTGCAGCGTGGTTACTTTCTGTTCGTTGAGATAAACAACAGTCTTTTCCGACACACAGTTCTTCCAACAGCATCAGCTCGCGAACTGAGGAGAAATCATCGGCCTTACATGCAGCACACCACCAATCAAACAAAATCCCTTGTTCTCTAGCGAAATCAATGTAAGTCTGGCCTACCCCTTTTCTGAGAGCCCTGAAACGTTGCCTGTACGCCTCAGGCACCAGCTCATACACCCGCAAGATGGCGCTCTTAACTTTTTCATAGGAGAGACTATCCTGCACAGACAGCGATGAGCAAGCCTCCTGAGCTTTCCCTGACAGTTTACACTGTAGCAGGATGGCCCACACGTCTTTTGGCCACCTCAGGGCAACAGCAATGCGCTCAAAAGCAGTGAAATAGCTCTCAATGTCGGTCTCACGAAAGACAGGGACTAGAGAAATGTGTTTACTTACATCAAAGGTACTAGGGAGGGCAGTTCCTGATGACCCAGTACCGGCAGCGGTGGCTGAGAACTGCGCTGACCGCAGCTCCAACACGCGCATTCTAATGGCAGTTTCTGCCTCCAACTTCTTTAGCTCCAACTCCCTCCTGAGCTGGTGCTCGCGTTCGCGCTCCTCCCGCCGAGCCAAACGAACCTTCAACCGTGCGTCCTCTCTAGAGGTAGGGGAGGACTCCACGGACAATGGATAATATCTCGGCAGGGTGAACTGCTTACCCCCGCCCGGCTTCACACCGAGTGTATCCGCTTCATCAGGTGGCGTGGCCACATCCTCTGCCACAGAAGCAGCTTGCCTCGCTGCTGCCCCAGCGGGAAAATCTGTCAAACTCAAGACACCGCTCTGTACTAACCCGTCAGTCACAGTGGCCCATAACTCTGCTTTAACCAGAGAATTAGACACAGAAAACCCATAATGTTTAGCGATAGCAAACAGATCAGCTTTCATACATCCATCCAGCTGCTCTAGCGTAAGTTTGGCTACAAACGCCTCCAAACAAAACACAGCCATCTTTGCTGCAATTGCTACCTGGCTAATACCAACGGAAGCAGTAACACCACACAACAGTGCAACCAACAACAAGTGTATGCAGACACGCAGCCAAAATACAACCGCGTCGGCTACAGAATAGTCACACACCAGGTTTCTCAAAAGAGCAACCCCTTCCCCAGGGCCCTGCCTACCCAAAACTTAGCCTAAGCTGTCTTCTGGGGCATGCTGGGCTCGAGGCGACTTTAAAGGCGAAACTTCGGCGGCCAGGGCCCCGAAAGCCTACCTCCGACAGGGAACTCGCTCCCCACCCAGGATTCGCCCCGAAAATAATAAAGGAAAAATAACAACCAAGTGCCCGATGGAAAGACTGCTGGGCAGCCAAGCTGGACACTTCTAACTAGCTGGGGAAAGGTCTACCCTGGAAAAACTGGACAGTGAAAACCCACACGCAACAGTCAATGCGAACAGTTCACAAATACAAACAACAAGTGCTTCCCCGCAACCCGGAATGTTTGGGAAAAAGGATCCCGGACAAGCCCCCAAATTGTTATGAACCTCCAGTGGAGAATCCAGGGGAGGAGGAGGTTAGTGACAATAAAAGAATCATTCCAGGTTGAAGGAAGCCAGGAGACAGATTTTACAGTACATACAGGGTTTTATTTACAATAAAGAAATGCTAAGGTACCCTCGGGGAGGGTCTACAAAAAACAACTTTCCAAAAACAAGGAAGCGCCCACAAATGCCACAAATGAGAAAATAACACAGGATACAATAATGAATACCACCCTCCCTCCACTGAGGGAGTGAACCCCACCACAAGATTCAGACTTGTCACTTGCTGCACTGCGTCCCTGTTTTGCTTCGTTGGCCTCGGATCCATGCTTCCCCATTTCTCTGTCGGCCAGTTGTTGGACCCCTCTGGATACTGAGGTACATAGTTAGTTTTCGGGATGTGCAGTGTGGGTGCGGGGCAGGGCTGTGCTCCAGTTTGTTCTGGGTTTGTGCCTGGAGTTCTCGGCCCTTGACGGGTGGGTGGGTTGGTGGTGGCATGCAGCTGAGCTAGTTGATTTTGCCTCATTGCTGGTTTGGCTGGTGTTGCACTGCGGCCGGGGGGCGTGCTGGGCATGGGGGATGTCGGCCTGCGCCGGCGGCCTTAGCTTTTTCCGGCGGTTGGGGGGACGGCGGACTTTTATTGGTGGGTGCACGGTGACCTGTGCGGCGCGTTTGCTGCCGGGCTGGGACTTGCTGCTGGTGTTTCTCTCCTCTGGCTTTCGCTGTCGTGTTGTTCCGCTTGCTCTCTCTCGTTTGCCCGACCTCGTACGCGGGATTCGCAGGGGGCTGCTGGGCATTGGGTATCGGCGTGCTCGCGCAGTGTGCGCGTTGGGCTCGTCACTTGTGCATTGGTGTTGATGATTGCGTGGCATTTGGGCATTTTGGTTGTTCGCTGCGCGCGGTGGGGTGCTGGGTGGGGGGGGAGCACTGGTCTATGTTGTGTGCGCGCCGCGGTCGGTCCGGGCGCTGCTCCTCCGCGGGTTACGCTTCTTGCGTTCCGTCGGCATTACGTTGTCAACTGGCATCCGCGTTTGCATCGCGGTGCATCTGGGAATCTTTGTTTTTTTTTTTGATTGATTTATTCTTTTTCTTTCTCCCACCCCTATTGGCTACTGGGGTTCTTGCCTGCCTGTTGCTGGGGTAAGTGTGGCACAGTCGTGGCATCCCACTCTCACTAACAACTACATTCTTTAACAGGCTTATGCGCACACACATGTACATACACACATACAGACACATTCACCCACACGCACACAGACACAATCAGTCTCACACATAGACACAAACAAATTTTGATTCCTGATGCTTTTCTTTCAGTTACTTATTTAAATTAATTGTTATTATTCCAGCTCTCGTGGCTGTGCTGTGTTGCTTATTTAGTGTGCTGGACTGTTTCTTGTTTTCATTTTTCTCTTAGTAGTCTTACTATGTCAACTGTTCATTGCTGCTGTTCGGCTGGTTTGTCTTTTACTATTATTATTCTTATTTTTATTGTTTGTTTTTGTTTGTGTTTGTTTGTTGTTGTTTTTCTCCTCCCCAAGCCCCCCTTTCTGTTCTATTGCAGGTTTTGTTGCTTTCTGCAATTGGTGTTTCCCACTGCTTTTCCCTGTTGTCCCCACCTTCCATCCCCCTTCTCTTACAGGTCTTGTCCTTTCTCGGTGCTGTCTGTTTGTGCCCCCCCATCCCCGTGTCTTCCCCACTGTCCGGCCCAGTGACAAATCAATATATAATTAAATAAATAATAAAACAGACAAAGGAGTATATTAATACTCTCTTGTTAAAGTAAAATCTGTCTGGCACAATATGGTATCCAGGTCATCATTCTCTACACCAGGCTGCTGGGCAGGACAGGTTTCCAAAAAACATCAACAAAAAAAAACATTTATGGCAGCATCAAATATGAGGAAAACATTGATGTAAATAAAACATATAGCTTGGTGTTGGTCTATTTTTTATATTATAAATGACAGTTGGGTACACAAAGTAAATGATGAAAGCACAATTTTAATCTACAGAATAGACCCAAAAGTAAACATCATGCCAGTTAAAAAATTAAAGATGGGAGGCTAGAACTTCAAGTTGTCCCTGATATCTATAATACAACAATATAGCATAATTTCATGTCCTATAGGCTACTCAATTAAATTACAAATATTACCAGTTATATTTTTGAAGTTAGAGCTATAGTCTATTAACGAATAAATGTAAAAACACACTTAATGTAATATTTAATTAAGAAAACCCCACAATTGAGTTTTTCAAGTTTCTGTTGTAAACTTCTCAGCTGACATAACTTACAAAATTAAGTTGATTAATATCTTGGATAAATATTATATCCATTAGATTACCCTCCTTTAAAATTTCTGTGTAAAATTTAATTTTACGGCCACACTTTTAATGACAAAAAGGCTGGAGCATGTAGGCCTGTACTCCTTGTATTGAAAATAATCTCTGGTTCCACACTCCAGTCCAGTTGGTGGCGCTAATGCACCTCTCGGCTAGTTTGCCAACCGCCAATAAAATAAAAAAAAAGAAGAAGAAGTTTGAGAAAAAAAAAACAAGCCTGACGGCGACGGGTTTATTAACGACGTTGTGCACTGGCGACGGAGTAGCCTATCCACACACGTAGCTGTCACACGACGGTCTCCTTTGGTAGGTTATCCGTGGCACAATCCACCCGCCATAATCCACCGCCATACACCGGATGCAGCGACGCGTCGACGCCCATTCGCCCTCTGACAAACCTCTGAAAATGCCGTCAGTAAACGTGTGATTGGATTTCCCTGAATTTCCTCAGGGAAATGAAAATAAGCGTCCACAAGTTTATGAATGCAGATCAAAGGCCGGGACACACACACACTGCAGTATATGCTTTATTGTGAGCATATGCAAAATGGTCCTTATAGGCTAATCAATTTGTTTAAAAAGGGAGAAGGAAAAAAAGTCCCAACAATCCCAACGGGAGCCCCGCACTCTACCGACTGACCTACACATGAACATCAGTATCAAAGGGTTAGACTATTTTCTGGCCCGCCAGGAAAATAATTTGGCCCGATGCCAGACTTATTTGCCGACACCAGCTGTATATGTATTAATGGTAAGCTAAACTGTGCTGTTGCATGAAAGGTCTGATTTTACAAATATTCAAAATACAGTTACACTTTACACAAGTTGCATTTTGATATTCAGTTGCCCTGTTTGGTACGTCTCTACAAGCATATTTTAATATTAAACTTGACTATGGCAAAATAACCTTAACACTTAAATGACTAAATATTGTTAATGTCAAATTAAAATCTGAAAACTGTTTGTGGTACATTATATTCACTTAAGGTTTAGATATCCCAGATTAATAACTTAATCTATGACTGATTAAAAATCATATAAAAACATTTTTCTACAATGACAATGCCAAATTATGATGACTGAATATCTTATTGACATTTTAGGTCACTGTAATCATTTGCTACAATTACAGTTAGATTTACAGAAAAACAAACACACCAGGTTTATGTTAACATAATGTATAACAAATTAGTGATGTGGTGCACAAATGCATGTTATTGTATTTCCATTGAAAACAGGAAGTATTTTTTTGCTGTTCTGCTATTAGATAGATAAACAACATTTATCCCCAGGGGGGAATTTTGCATGTCACAGCAGCAGTATGCGAACAAACCACTTGGAAAAAATGATGGTGCTGGTTGCTGGTTTTCTCAGAAATTGGGCAGGGGTTCATAGGACGATACTCATCAAACATGTGCTTTCTTCACCAGTTTGAGCTCTGACCACTAGAAAGGATATTATTCAGAGATGTGTCAATAAAACAAAGCAACTTTGATGCAGTTGAAAGCTAAACTGTATATACATATATATACTGTAAAAGTAATTCAACAATGAAACAATTACTTGGGATAATTACCTCAATCGTCCTCACATCAGAGCTTTCCTCCTTCTTCAGATTTCCTGTTTTCATGACCAACATTTCTGTGCCGGAATCATCTGAAGTCTTCCTCTGCTCTGCAAAGGCTAGAAGAGTTTCACTTTGTCTCTCGTAGAGAAGAGCAGGAATCCTGTGCACTTTGGATGTAAAGAGAGTTTTCTTAATTGTCTTTAGATCACAATGACTGTTTGTTGCCCATGGTTGTTGTCTGTGTGTAAAATGCTCTTACAATTTATAAGAAAGCAAGAAATGTAGCTTACTCCTCCAAGATCAGCAGAGTTTGTCTGCTGGGGGTTTTCTAACTGGGTGGTTCAGTGTGGTCTTTATTTCACTGAAAACCTGTTGTCCAAACACTGATAAATAAAATTCTGGGGGTTGATTTCCTTCTTTCCTGTCCTTCTCTTAGTGATAAAACAAGGGAAAGCAAAGAGAAAAAAAGATGAGTAGATGAGATCCACTTCATGATTGGAACATAGTCAGGCTTAATGCAAGGTGGAGTAATATTTAATAGTATTTTATTCATAATACTTCAGTAAGTTTAGGTAAGACTTTCATTTATGTCCTAAATCCATGCATTTTTGGGAATATAGTCAGGTGGAAAAAAACTACCTTCTATTTTCTGACTGTATTTTATTATTTACTTGTATTTTACGAAACAGTGTTCTTAAATCATAATACAAACACATTTGAATAATGACCAAAGGAGGTGCACAGCTTATCACCACCCTAAAATTAGCAAAGCGAGGCAAAATATAAAAAATGTCTCCAAAGACTCTACTTCAACTACTAAACAATTCCTTAATTCCAAATATACCAATTATATTCCAATTATATATGATTATAAGTTCAAATAATTAAATTCCTGGTCTGATCAGATGAGGTCTTCTAGAATTTGTGATGCTGAGAGTTGAGATACGTCCAGTCTGAGACTGTGCTGAACTGCATCCAGGGAATCTCATCATTAGTAAATCTCCCAGTCTTTGTCCCAGAAGAGGCTAACATAGATGTAAATGTAAATGCTCCGTACTTCTATAGCGCCTTTCTAGTCTTTTCGACCACTCAAAGCGCTTTTACACTACATCTGCATTCACCAGTCATACACATTCATACACTGAGCCTAAGTGCTCAAACGGAAACTAGCATTCACACTCATTCATACGCTGGCGGAACAGCCGCCAGGAGCAAATCGGGGTTCAGTATCTTGCCCAAGGACACTTCGACACGCAACCAGGGATTGAACCGCCGACCTTCCTACCTAACGGCCAACCCGCTCTACCTCCTGAGCCACAGCCGTCCCATAGGACAGGACAATCATTGTATCATTGGTGGTGAAACAGGTAAGATGACCATTAGAAAAGTAATAGTGACAAAATGTGAAATGTTGTGTCAGGGCCAATGCACTTCACCTCGCAAAACCTGACTTTAGCAGAACCCTTGCTAGCGATTCAACTGTCCGATATGAGGTGTGCTTGCTCCCTGCCCACGGCGTCGCTAACAAGTTGTTTCTGCATGGTCCTGTTTAGCTCGCTAACAGTCGTTTTGACTTCCTGGAGACTTGTTGTCACCACAAGGTTTTATATGTAAGCAGCAGGGACTCCCTTGGACCATTAAACCAAACAACATATAAAATATTAATAATTCTTATAGAGCAGGTCTAGACCGTATTCTAATATTATTTAGAGACCCAACAATGCAGACTTTTGTTAATGACTTTGCTTACTTTTACTGTTGGCTTAGGCCTACTACAAATTAGACACACGTGACCATTTAGTAATGACTGTATTAACATTTGTCAGTACATAATTAGGGGTTAGATGTTTTTTTGTTTTAATCTTGATGAATATGGCGTATATGTCATGGAAATCAAAAATTCACATCTCAAAATATTAGAATATTAGAATAAAGAATGAAATGTAGACCTTCTCAAAAGTTAAAAAATTCTGAAAAAGGTTAATTTATGCACTCAGTACTTGGTCAGGGGTCCTAAAACATGAATTACTGAATCAGTGCAGCGACTCTAGGAATGCGACACAGCTCATATCTTGGACACATCTGTGCCTGGTGGCTCCTGATGCACTGACTCCAGCATCAGTCCACTCCTTATGAAGCTCCCCCAAGTTCAGCAGTTCAGTTTTGCTTGACAATCCCCTCAAGGCTGCGGTCATCCTTGTTGCTTGTGCACCTTTTCCTACCACACTTTAACCTTCCACAACTTTCCATGAACATGCTGTGAACAGCCAACCCTTTCAGCAATGCCTTCTGTGGCTTACCCACCTCGTGGAGGGTGTCAGTGATACATTTGTCAGGTCAAAAGTCTTCTCCATGATTGTGGTTGTTTGTACTGAACCAGATTGAGATTAAAGGCTCTTCTCAGGTCACCATTTCTGTATTATACATTCTTTATTCTAATATTTTGAGAGATGGATTTTTGATTTCTGTGAAATGTAAGCTGTAATCATCAAGATTAAAATGAAAAAAGGCCTAAAATATTTAATTTTATGTGTAATGAATCTAACATATAAGAAAGTTTCACAGAAATAAATTAACTTTTCCAAAATTTATAAATTTTATGATATGCACCTGTACATTTTGTACATGTGAATGTTGGTTCTCTGAAACTTTAAAGAAGCTAATATTGTAACTTTTTACTGAAAATGGCAGTAAGACATGCACTGTTCTAATGTGTATGCTGGAGCTTACTAGTCTAGATGTTTTGCTTCTTCAGTGTTATATTACATACTGATTTCCAGTAAAATGTTAAATGGAGTCATAGTCCATGCTGTGCTTGTTATCATCTTGGATGGGTGACAACTTGAGCAAAACAGTCCTGAGGCAATTGTGTTGGTCCCATATTGGATGAAAGAGAAGGTAAGATGCATTGTAAGAGCTGCTGCCTACAACGTCGTGCACTGTAAAAATTCGTTCAGTGCTATTGTCCTTATAACTTAATTTTAAAAACTATATTTATTCCAATAATTAACTTATTTTTCTTTCTTTGTTTTTTGAGTTTTCAAAAAGTAAAAAAGTGTGAATATTTTCGTAACTTAATATTTTCTATAATAAAATTAATTTAATTGGACTTCACCATAAATTGATTTTACAAAACTCATTTTAAAAGTTTATATCAGACGTATCCTTATGGACGTATCAGACGTAAAAAGACACGACCCGCCCACTACCTGCAGCAACAGAAGAACAAGCCCGGGCAAATCCTTCATCTCGTCTGTTCCAGAAGTTTATTCGAACGGGGTTTTCTACGGAGCCGGATAATACTTCACGTACCTCATGTAAGTAACTCTTTGTGTTGTTAAAAGTGAGATTTTACCCTAATTAACGTCTTTGTGCTGCACAATCGCTCTGTCGAAGAGCGCCAATTTCGAATGTGCTCTAACGTTAACGTTACCTCAAACAGTTTGTTAACTTGAGCCACATAAATTACTGTATTAATCTAACGTTACGTGTGTGTGCGCGTTGTATAAGTAATGTTGACTTTGTGTGATAGTTTAATGTTTCAGAGGTGTTTGTAACTTCTTCAAAAACATTGAGTCCGCTGCCAACGCTGTCGAAGCTACGACAGACACACGTAGCCACAGCTAACGTTAGCTAAGTTAAGTGATTACTGATTATCGTCGGTTGGATATGAATGTTAATGTGCCAGTGCAGCAGTTACTTTGGCGAGTACACAATCCACACAATCTAACCAAAACCACATTGATGAGGGAGCAAACATTTGCAACTATGAGTGTGGGCACTGTTAGCTAATGTGGATTAGCACATAGCCTGAAATACACCCACACCGCCCGCGGTTAACACACCTCAACGGTGGTGCTCAAGGTGCAGGCCCATTTCTCCTCATCCAGCGTGCTTTACACGTGTTTGTCTTAACAGGAAAACTTTGTATTTGACTGTGGCACATTCACACATCTCACACCAACACACTTTGCAGTCATTCCAGTTGTTCCACTAATATTTTGGCAAGAGAGGTTACAAGTATTTTAGGCTATCTAACCTAACAATTAGTCAATTGTGATGGTTAGACATGAGGTTGACATGATGTTTCAGATTATTTTCTAAAATAAATTCTGTGATGAACTAAAGTTACCCATTCTTGTCTTGTCCAGCAGGATAATCTTCATTTGTATTTTAAGTGTATTTTTTTATGGATTTTGTCAGGCTTGTATTCAAAAGCTAGATGTAACTAACTTTATTTATTTTTATTGACAGATGGGATGGCCCTGTAAATTGTGCAACACTGTGGTACCAGGAAAGAGTGACATTTTAAAGCATTATAGACTGCATCATGGGACTTTTGGACACAGCCATGCCTTGCCTTGTATTCATATAGATTGCCCATGTTCTTTTAAATCCTGGAGTTCCTTCCGCTCTCACCTCTCAAGATACCACCCAGAAGCTAAATCCTTCATCTCACCACAAGTAAGTCTTTCATTTACCTGCCCTTTGTGTCAAAACCCTGGATTTAACAACAAAAGGATTTTTTGAGCATATAGGTCACCATCTCAAGAATAACGAGACTGTTAAGTGTGTCTTCATAGAATGTGATCACCAAACAAATGTGTATGGGACGTTTGCAACACACAAACACAGAAAGCATACTCCATATACATCACAAGATTTCAAACCAGGGATTATTTGTGGGTTACCCGAGGAAGCACTTGATTTTGAAGCCTCTGAAGAGGATGAGGTCCACAATGATGCTAATCATGAAGGCAGTAGCACTAATGCACACTATGAAGAGGAAGATGGAAGCAGTGTAGTTGTAGAGTATATAGCATCCCTCTTGTTGAAATTAGAGAGTGTTCATAATGTTTCAGTTCGGTGCATTGATGAATTGGTTGATCTTCACTTCATAGCAAATTCTGCATGCATATCTTCAGTTAAAAGTATCATTGTTTCACATTTTAAGAAAAATAACCAAACCATTGACACTGTTGTTACATCTTTGGTGGAAGAATTGTGCAATTCCAATCCCCTAAGCTCAGCACTTAGTAGTGCTGGTCCTCTATCCTCATCGTTCAAGAGACAGAAGTATTATACAGAAAAATTTGAAGTTGTTGAGCCTGTTGAGTATGTCCTTGAACCAAATGAGAAGAGAAGTTTCCAGTATATTCCAATTCTTAAGTCTTTGATTAATATTTTGGGTAAAGAAGATCTTCGAGAAAAAGTTCTGAGTAAAGAAAAGGACAAGCCATCTACTAAATATGAATCATATCAAGACGGTACAATCTATAAAGATAATTCTTTTTATTCTGAAGAACTAAGAATTACACTTGTACTGTACATTGATGACTTCGAAATTTGCAATCCACTGGGAACTTCAAGAAAGAAGCACAAGATTACAGCTGTATACTGGGTGTTTGG